AATTAAGGGTAGTTTTGGCTAAACTAAGTTCAGGATGGTGTATCCGTCTCAATTCGTATGGGGCGCGAACTGATGAAGATGTACGGAATGTCTGTCCAGCCTGTGATACAGGCCCGCACAATATGTTGTATCTTTTCCTGCCAAACCTATTCAACGCACTCCAGAGGATTTTGGCTACAGCCCATAAGAGAAGTTGACTTCCTTATCCTGGACCTTGAGATTACACTGCTACAACAACATACCCTCTTCGTTACTAGTAAGCTTACAAATAATGAGTTATTGCTATAAAGGGAATATAATCAACTTTTATTATGCCAAGTAATGACTAACAGCTCGAGATCTCTGGTTCGAGTCCCTAAGCCCGAACACAGACAAAAAATTGGAAAATACCCAGCGAAAGATTGGTAGCAGCATGTGCAACTTTAAACATTACAGGTAATGACCGCCATGTACGATCTACATTACCCGCATTTTATTAAAAATGACAACTCCAGACCCCCTGCACGACCAGTAAGCTTACAAATAATGAGTTATTGATATACATCTTGCAAGCCAAAATAAAATACTTTTATCATACCAAGTAATGGGTAAGTAATGAGTTCCTAACTTACATTTATCATAGCAAGTTATGGATAATGGCGGCGCAGAGAGAGGGGGCACGTTCGAATTCAATGCCGAAGGACGCTCTCTAAAATATGTGAAGAATTTGCCAACGCACACACACTTGGCTGAGAACATGATTTGGTCGACTATCAAAAATCGCCAATTCAACCTCAACGTCAGGCAAATAAAAAATGGAGTGTGGTGAAATTATTGCTTTTTTGAACTTGTTTATTGGCTCTTGGTGGCAGTTTGGTACTGACACGACCATATTAAAATAGGGGATTAGCATGCAATTTCGAAAGTAGTTACTGGTGTCAAAATGTACTTAATAAACCCGAGAATATCGCTGCCGTACGAGCCAGTGTTGAGAGGTCCCCAAGAACATCCCAAAAACGCCGTTCTCAGCAGTTGGGCATGGCTCGGTCCACTTTACAACGGATTATTCGCATTGATTTGCATTTGTTCCCTGCGGACAAGCCTTGTCGATTGGAATGGGCCCAAAGAGTCATCGAAATGGCCGGAAAAAAACATGGGTCCGTCGAATATGGACAACCCTGTATGAGCGCATGGTAGGCACGACTACCAACCAGAACATCGCCAGGGCAATCTCACGTTCATGGAAAAAAAGAAAACACCAAAACGAATAATAAACTGTGCGAAATTGAAATCTCATTCCAAAAATAGAACGGAAGGGGTTTTAAACCTATTTATTGGCTATTATTAAGTTGTTACTAGTGATAAAATGTTTAAAATTAACTCATTTTTTGGTAATGAGATTGGTAACTATGCCAAAACTACATTTATCCTTTAAATTTTAACCCCTACCTTACTTTTTTTTCCTTTAGCTCGGTTCCACTGTCTCTTTGGACTCCTTTTTGTCGTTTTTTTTTTTTTTTTTTTTTTTTTTGTAATTTATTATATAATAAAATTTCATTAACGTCATCAACAGCATTCCTAGCTGGGCACCCAAAATTGTACAAAAAACAAAAAGAAAAACTAGTCTCGGAGAATGAGTCTCCCTTCATCAACCTTCGAATCCTTCATCAAATTTAATTGTAATTGTCATACAATTACAAGTATTATTTCGTGTCGACAGCCAACGTAGGTGTAATTAAAATTATTTCCATTCATTGCTAAGGGCAACAACAACAGTAACGACAACAACAACAACAAATTGATTAATTTGGGACCATCAACCTAGTTCAAGTAGACGGTGTAGACATTTTGGAAAAACTGTCTGGAAAACATGGACCAAAATGAAAAAGTAAAAGCCTATACTTAAAGCCCAGAAAACTATTTAAATCGAAGATTATTAGAAAACTGGATCTATAAACAAAAATTATTTTCTATCCAGTACACCGTAGTAGCCAGAAATGCTTTTTCAACCCATTTCGAAGGGACTCAAATTATAACTTTAATTTCAAAAAAAAAAAAAAAATTCTCTAAAAATATCAAAAGATTTACCATTTCCCTTACCTTGAACCCTCCTAGCTACCACGGCGATTTAATGTGAATCAAGAGTAGAGAACTATACATGCACCTAAACCCGAAATGCTAATTTGCTTGTCAAATTTAAGTATACCTTTCATAAATGGGGAGTAAATATTTATTTGTCCATTTGCAGAACATTAAAAATTGGTGATCAGCTTAGAACTCAAATCGATTTGAAAATCCCAATCTGTCAGTCGGACGGAATCGTCAAAATCAACGAAGACGCCTTTGTTTTTGCCTAAAATTTCAATATTTGACAAATAAAGGTATGAATTTTTTTCAATTACCATTTCCAAAAAACCATCAGGATGTGTGCATCGTTTGAAATAGCCCCAATATAACAATCTCTTCCGGTTTAACAAATTTTGAAGTTTCCGAATGTATTTTTAAACCGAACTAGCTGTAATTTTACTTTTGAGGTTCACAGAGCATAAAATCCGTTCCTATAGAAAGTGTCATCATCGGATAAATGTTTAATAAAATCCCAAATTCGAAATATGGGTTATATAGATGATAATTTCTAATGAAGTTTTCAGTGGCCTATCTGAAAAGTCATCAAGCCTCCAGGTGAAATTCCTGAAATAGACTTATCAAAAAATGCAGACCCACAGAAAAAAAAAAAACGAAAACAGTAACCGCAGAGTGCATCTCAATCTCTTATAAATGTGAAATAAGAGTCCGATTGTCTTTAAATTTCATACATATTAATATTTCAACAAATTCTAGAAGAATAGGATAGATCAGACCACATTTTCTGGTACCTCCCCCACAACGAGTCAAAATGTTGAATAACCAAAACGCTCATAAAATGCGAAATACACATTTGATTCTCTTCAAACATGGCGCATCTAAATATTTATACCAACAGCTGATCTGGTGTGAATATCGGTTATTGCAGTCAACTGCGGCTAATACCTCCCCCATAATAGGCTCAAAAATTTGATAAAATTTTTTCGCATAAAATTCAAAATATATGCCAGCTTCGCTCTTTCTCGTACGTCTTGCCAACAAAAGGTCAATTTCACAATTTTCACAAAAAAAAACCCACACACATCTCACATAAAGTAAATGAAGTAGAAGTCCAAAGCTGGCACGTCGCAATATTTATATCAGACTTACTTCAGCTGCGACATGAAATATATTTGCCTATTACTTGGGTATAATCCATAAAATGTCCAACATTTTGCATAATCATAAAGCAAGGCAAAATGTGTTTAAATAAACGGACATTGGATAAGGGTATACATCTGTCGGCAAAACCGACGAATACAATTTAACTTGTTCTCGTTTTTATACCCTTCACCAAAGTTTGGAGGCTCTATATGTTTGTCATTCCGTTTGTAACACCTCGGAATATACATTTTAGACCTCACAAAGTATATAAATTTTTGATCAGCATGAAATTCTATGTCGATTTAACCATTCCATCTGTCCATTTGTCCGTCTGTGAGAATCACTTTAGCTTCCGAACGAATTGAAGTAGATTGATAAAATTTTACTCAAATGTATATTATGTCTGCAGGACTTTTGGTATTGAAAATGGTATTTTAATACATTATTAACCGGAATTGTTTCAAATTTGGTATTCGAAGTTCGTAATGGGTACTACAGTCTATCACAGAAAATTGTCTGTACATGTCCACGTCTTCATATAACGGCAACTGACTATATACGGTATTTTAAGATTTTAACAGAATTTATAACGAATTCTATTTCTTTATTTACTAATTTTTTGAAGATTTCAAAATTCTTTCCAAACGGTGTATTCAAAGTTCGGCCCGGCGGAACTTGCTGCACTTTCACTTGTTTTTTTTTTTTCAAGTTATTTAGTCGAAGATCTGTTAATTGAAAATCTTAATGTAAATCTTAATGTTTTGAATTATGAAAAATATAGAGCCAGGTTTAGAAAACCTTTATTTCACCGCCTAATTATTTGAATTCTAAGGGTCACTTTAATAGAGGGTTTTGGGGGTTCGTAAAGGCAATAAAAACCCAAAAATATTCAAAATTTGTAAAAGGTTTGTACATATAGTTCATATAACGACAATACCAGAATTTTAATACTTAAAAGCACTATATATATATCTCCATTTCAGTTTCAGAACTTTAGAAGCCCGTGGGCCAAGCTTGTTTGACCGATTCCACACAAAGAGAAAGCCTACATTTCTCACAATTTTTAGATTTTTTCCCAGAGGTAGGAATTTTTACCCTGGTTCCGGGAAAGCATTTTTTTCCTGGGGCGGACCAGGATTCCGGATCCAAGACTCGGTATAGGACTTATTAAACCTATATAAACAATGGGTATCATTTGAAAGCAGATGAAGATACCTATCCAACAAGTGGTCACATTATTGGTAAAAAAAAGGGTTCCAGTGTTATATCAAAAATATCGATTTTTGGACCCGATTTTTTTTTAAAAATCCCCCAAAAGACAAAAAAGGTTCCATTTTGGGAGTCCGTAATATGTTATAATTCGCATATATTTTGTGGACTTCCCAAATGGGACTTTTTCGGACTTTTGAGAGAATTTTTAAAAAATCCGGTTCCAAAAAAATTTATAATTTTGATACAACTCTGAACCCTTTTTGAATAATCCCATCATGTGACCACTTGTTGGATAGGTATTTTCACGAGCTTTCATATGATACTGTTGACACTATAAACATTTCAAAATGCTACGATATGTGTTATTATATTTCTTGGATCCAGAGATATGGGTCTTTGAACCCCGAACGAAAAAATTTCAAAAAAAAAATCCAAGAGTTTTTACTAAGCTAAGGTTAAGGTAAATTTTTTTAAGTATAATATTTTTTTTATAAAAATAATTCAGATTCAAAGACGGACACTCTAAATCTGCCGAGACTGCATTAAAACAAGCCATATTTATATATTTTTTAAATATTTACCTTTTAAGATAGTTGTTGTTGTTTCAATATCCTCTATGTTTCTTAGGTTATGACCAAATTCGCCATAGTTGTTGTTTTGGAGAAAAAAATTGTATTAATCCCAAAATTTTGGCAAAACTATTCGCTTTGCAATGATGATGGTTGCGAGTTGGTTGTCCAGCGGCTTGTTGAAGATGTAAAATTAATTTTGCAACAAGTAGCACTAATTTTGTAACTTTCTTATGTTTTGAAATTGTTGTGCAAAATAAATACGTATTATGTTGATAATAAATATTTGTTGTTGTTGCAATATTTTTTTTTGTGTGCAATAATAATTCTTAATATTTTGTTGATGTTATGAAACCGTCTTAGAAAATTTTTTGTAATATTTAATTTTTTTTATAAGTAAACACTTTTATTTGTTAACAATGAATTTTTTTACACTTTATATGTAACTTGTATTGATTTTTTTAAATATTTTTTTAATATTATTATTTGTTGTAAGAATATTTTAATATTTGTAAATATGATTTTTTTATTTATTTTTTGTTGTTGGTTTGGTAATTGTATTTGTATTTTGTTTTAAGTATTTGCAGATATTGCAGACATTTTGTAATTTTTAATAATTTTTTTTTAAATAACATTTATTTATTTTGTTATTTTTCAACACATTTTCATTTTGGCCCAAAGAAATAAAGTAAATCTTTTGTGTTTTTTTTTTCTTCTTTTTTTTCCTATATAGAATTCAACGAGTCAGCTAAAAACTGCGTTGAAAATAATAAGAAATGAAATGAATTTCATTAGTATGCGTTTTTTTTAAAGGAGAATTTATTTTTTAGTTCGAAAAAATAAAAAATACGCCACAAATTTAAAAAAATAATTGAAGAAAAAAATATAAAACAAAAACACAACAAAAACAAATCATTAAAATTAATCCAAAAAATAAAGAGAGAAATCAAAGTTTTTCATGATGTAAGTGAGAAAATAAAAAGCAGAACCCGCAGAGAGAGGAAAAGAGAAGAGAGCTATGCAACTGTAAAAGGGACTCCAACTGGATTGTTTATCGATTTTTTTTAATTTTAAAAAGAACCCGTTTTTTAGGCTATTCATTAATTTTTCTATTTTTTCCGATTTTATTTTTTTTAATTAAAAAACTAAAAAAAATGTTTTGCCATCTCCATTTTTCTTTCCAAATAATCACAGCCACAATTAACCCGATTCTCCATGCGAGAGAGTGGGAGGAGGTTGTTACTCTTGTTCACAGTTACTCTCTCTCAATCACATACACTCACGCACTCTTGAGTTGTTGTTCTTGTTTTGTTTCTCATTTGCTTTTATTTTTCTGTTACCGCTTATTCTGATGTGAAAACGTCACACTCAATACCAGCAGGAACAACAACAAGAACAACAAGAAAAAAACCGACTAGCCAACGAACAGATAACCTTTGAAGACTTAAAGGCGTAACGAAACGTTGTGGGAAATGAAACACTTTGAAATTCCGTAAGAAGCAAATGTACGTACGCACGAATATCACACACACACATATGCACTCACTCGGCAATACACTTGCACTCACACTACCACGCACCTAGCACACACTCACACACACACTTGCTCACTCATCATAAAATGACGGAGACGGAGATTGCGACTACGACAACGAGACGACGACGAGAATACCACGACGACAACGAAAAAAAAAAACGATAACCAAAAAAAATAGGAAAAAATTAATTAAAAAAAAAAAAATTAACAAAAAAAAGTTAAATTTATTTTCTTTTTGCGTTTCATAATCTTCTTCTACTTCTCACACTCTTGTTTTCCAAATGCCTTTTGCATTGCACTTCAAACTCAACAAAAAAATTTTTCTTCACTTTTTTCCTTTCCGTTTTCACTTCTTCTTCTTCTTTCCATCTATCTTCCATTCATTTCGAACGACGGCATTTTGCAGTGAAGAAGACAACAAAAACAACAAACTCAATTATGATTATTCTTGTAAAATTATCAATCAAACACTTTTCTGCTTCTTCTTTATCAACTTTGAATTTTCCTGCAATTTTCCACACACACACATTTCAAAATATTTTAGATTTATTTTTTAATTTTTCTTCATCTCATCATTTTATATATATAAATATTTTTTATCTATATATTCCTTATTTTCTTCTTTGTTGTATGTGTGGCAAGAGAAAGAGAGCGAATATTTATTTTTTTGTTGTTGTTATTTATTTTTTTTTTTAATTTTGTTGAAACAAATTTATTTATTTTTTTGCTTTGTGTTGTTGTTGTGGTTGTAGTAATATAAGATAATTATTATTATTATTGTGATTATTATAAAAGTCGCGAAGGCGCGACACTTTAACTGCCTCCCATCCGTACCAAACGAAATACAAACTCGAACTAAATACTCATTAGGCCAAGTAAGAATCTCAATTGGCGAGAAACAACTCCTTCGAAATGTATCCAACAGATACAATGCACATAGCAACAAACACACATTGTAATAATTCATACAAGGAGAGTGATAGGCAGAGAGAGAGAGAGAGAGAGAGAGCGCTAAAGAGAAACACATACTGTTACTCAGTAACTTACTGAGATAATGCATTCGGAGAGTGGACACGAAGCATGAGTCTCTTGCTAAGAGTCCAAACGGGCATTCAACAGAAAATTGTGGGGACAATGTTTAGTCTCTCCATATAATATTAACCCTCTCGACGGCAGTGGTACTTTGAAGTTCCTGGATTATAAAATATCCCATGTATCATAAAATGATAATGTTAAATGGTCTATCCGTTCAGTCCAATTGAAATGCATCAATTGAAGCGGGCTCGTCTATATAGAAATGATTTTTAATATAGTCCCACAAAAAATTGTCGCATGATCGGCCAACTGATCGGACCGGAACCTGAAATATGTATGTTTATATGGAAAGTAAACTCTTGCATTTTGGGCAAAAAAAATTGGATATTATCTCACAGTAACGCTCATCATTCAAAGTTACGTTGATGGGAATCAATTTGGAAGGAGTACTCATTCCGCCCATTAAACGCACCAAACTGTAACTCTTTCTGGTAGCTGCGGTGGCGTTTGCAGTGCTTCTTGCTGCCCTCATACAAATCAAAATCCAGCTACGTCGCTTCGTATGTTCCTGCACACAAATAACACATTTAAAGACCCCTGTAGGTTGACTCGGGGATGTTTCTGCATCCTCTTGGGATGAATATCAGAATATGAAAAATCCTTATCGCGAATAATATCAAACAACTTTAAAAATTGATCGTGTTTTTCCAATTTCCTTGCCAATTTGGAGTTAAAGCCTTCGAGCACACTAGCAGTCCTCCCATGCTCAAGACTGACAGAAAATCCACAAGGTGTAACCTAAATACAACGTGAGATGAAAAATCTGCAACCAACTTCAGACTGCTGTCATTTCTAAGCCACTCGTCCCACAGCTATTAAAATTATTCCAGTGACAACTCATTATATTGTTTACAAGCGTACAAAAGTACTTTGGCGAGTATTTTCCAGAAAAGAAGTTATTCGTGATGGAATTCAAGCGTGATACAGTGATTTCTTTATATTTGGCTGGAAAACCACAAGTGTCTATCGTTAGAGCACTCCAGCATTTAAATGTAGGAAGTAGACGGAAAAAAAGTAAAGAAGCGACTTGATCGAAACCCGCGTCGCAGTGGCCGAAAAATGACTCGTGAGCTCAACATATCACAATATTCCATTCGGCAAATATTCACAAATGAGCTCGGGGTAAAGCCATTGAAATTTCAAAAAGTGCAAGAACTTACACCGCAATTGAAAGAAAATAGACTCAAAAGAGCTAAAGAGTTGCTTCGCTTGACCGAAAGTGGTGAACTGCCGAATTTGGTTTTCTCCGGTGAGAAAACATTGTCCAGCAGTTTGTAAACAAACAAAATGAACGTGTTTACTTGCCAAAGAAGTCAGCTGAAAATGTGCACATTCGGTTGGCCACCAGAACTCGCTCTCTGCTAGTATTAATCGACCGTGGCATCAGAATAAATGCCGAATATTATCGCGAAAATATTCTGGAGGGTGTATTAAAGCCTTGGGTACGCAAACATTTTGGTCGCAGACCTTGGACTTAGCACCATCGTGGGACGGTTTCATTGGCTGTTCAAAGGCTATAATTCATGCCAAAGGTGACCAATTCGAACAAATCTAAACTTATTCTAAAATTTTATGCTATTTCCGAATTTTTTGCTTTCATTCAATAAATTAAAAAAAAAAAAAATGTAAAAAATTGTAGCGTTTGACTTTGCTGCAGTTTTTTAGTCACATTTTATACCCTCCACCATATATAGTATGGAGGGTATATTAAGTTCGTCATTCCGTTTGTAACTCATTGAAATAATCATTTTAGACCCAACAAACTAAGACGATTTATGTGTCCTTCGTCCCTCTGTTGTAATCACGCTACAGTCTAAACGAATTAAGATAAGAAGCTAAAATTTTGCACAGATCTCTCTTTGGTCTGCAGACAGGTCAAGTTCGAAGATGGGCTATATCGGTCCACGATATCGTATAGCCTCGGTATATACTCGGTATTTTGATGATTTTACCCACATTTTTCAACGGAATTGTCCGAAGTTCTACACAAGGAGTTCTTTGTGAGTAATTACTCCCAGAAAGAGAATTGTCTATATAGGACCACGATATCGAATATCCCCCATATAACAGTACCCCCCCCCGATATTTTTTGTTTTTGAAAATTTTCTAAATCGTTCCAAGTGGTGGAGGGTATTCAAAGTTCGGCCCGGCCTTCGGAACTTACTGCTATTTTACTTGTTTTTTTTTTTTTTTTTTGTTTAATTTGGTATTTTTAAAATAACTTAACTGGTTTTTAGCCCCCTCAGTTTTTGTCTTCGTTCTCTCACAACTTTTCTTTTGAGGGCCAACTGACAGTATATTTTGCTTCGACCTCGTTCGACAAGGTATAAGACAAATATTTTTGATGTTGGGCACCAGGTGTTTTTCGACCTAATATGGTAGTTTGTGGCTGCTTCCTTATGAGGAAGAGGGAAGAGTTTCGATTTATATGTTGAGTTGCATTAACTGTGGCAAGTGTCTGACTTATACAGAGACAATTGCTCAAATCTCCTTATACTTCCATCTTTCATTCTTTTTAATTTCGATACATTTCTTACAGTTTTGAACTAGATTTCAGAATGAAATAAATTCAAGAACATAGTTTAATATAGTACTCAGAGGGTTAACATTAACAAAACTATTCCCCATAATAGCTCTTCTTTTATTATTCTCTCTCTTTTTTACCACACTCTTTTACCTCTTTATGCAATTAACACCCATACAATTTCCTACGAACCTCTTCAAACAACAAAAGGAAAACAAAAACACAAAACGAAATTATTATCCATTTTAAGAGCACATGAAAAAATTTTACTATTCAGCAAGAGATG